TTAAGCCTTATTTATATTTGTTTGGCTTAAAGAAAAAACAATAAACAATCAAGTGAAAGCTCGAGCAAATCTCTTGCTCTCTTTCTCGTGCTGTTTTTTCAATTATTACATTTTGCTTGTTACATAATATTTCAAAGAAAAACTCTTTTAAAATTCAGTCAACTTTTCAAGCACCTGCAACTTATCTCTTGTAAATAAATCAAATGACTCGAAAAGCACTTTGCCATGGCGAATAAATTGTGGTCCGGACCAGAGCCAAATGCAATTTACTGATGTCATATATATACATATCTACTTATACATATATTTATTTATATACAGAGGGGAAAATAGACAAATTTCCAAATAAATTGCTAACAAATGCTTTGATTCAATTTCAACAACAACAACAACAAGGCAAGCAAAATAAGCTACAACTTTGCAGTGACCGCAAAACACTTGACACGCTCAGCTGCCGTCCAATATAAATGCAACAACTTTAGAGCACAGAAAGGATGAAAGGATGCTCGACCATCTCCTGCCATGGCTTCAACTCTTGCTCTGGCGTTGCTCCTGCTGTTGTTGTGTGGCTGCTATGCGGCTAAGAACAACTAAACAATGCAGCACACACACACATACACGTACATACATGTACAAAATTACCCTGTACATTAAATGCAGCGAATAGATGGGCATTTTAGAGTCTATGAATAAACATGTAATAAGGAATTTTGGAATGCTCAATTTAGTTATTTCTGCTCGATTTCTAACTGAATCTTTGCCTAGCTTCATGTTTCTCTCTCTCTCTCTCTCTCTCTCTACCTCAGGAAAAAAATTTAGTTTTTGCTGTATTTCGAGTCGCGCTGTAATTAATAAATAAGGGGAGTAAGAGGATATTTGAAAAAAAGAGAAAGAATAAAGAGCGAGAGAGAGTATTATAGGAGAGAAAGAATGATTAATAAATAGAATTTAAACTCTTTTCTATAACGTGATAACAATAAAAAGCAATTCAATAGTTTTTCTACAATTTTACCAGCCAAATTTGAAGTAGACGGCAAATATTTGGTAAAAAAATAATTTCAATTATATTTCAGAGTGCTTTGTTGTTCACTAAAATTAATTCAAATGGAAAATACACAGCAATGCGATTGACGAGTTAATGTGCGCTTAGTGCTATAATAGAAAATCCAATTCCAATTTGCGAATGAGCAAATTGGTTTTCGCATTCAGAGCTGCGGCACTTAGGAGTTCTTCTGTGGCACCTTGACAATGACGCTCTTGACTTCCGTATAGTTGGAGAGAGCATATTCGCCATTCTCGCGGCCATGACCGGACATCTTGTAGCCGCCGAAGGGCGCCTGGGCGGCCAGGGCATTGTAGGTGTTCACCCAGACGGTGCCGGCGCGCAGACCGCCCACAATGTAGTTAGCCTTGTCCAGATCCTTGGTGAAGACAGCGGCAGCCAGGCCGTAGTCTGAGTTGTTGGCACGCTCGATCACCTCGTCGAGCTTCTTGAAGCGAATGAGCTGCTGCACCGGGCCAAAGATCTCTTCGCGTGCAATGGTCATGTTGTCTTGGACATCGGCAAAGACCGTGGGCTGGACGAAGTAGCCGGGCAGACCTTCGGGGCGTTTGCCGCCGGCAACCAGCTTGGCGCCCTGCTGCTTGCCCGTCTGGATCAGACCCAAAATCTTTTCCATTTGCTCCTCGTTGACCTGCGGTCCCTGTTCGGTGTTCAGATCGAAGGGATTGCCAACGGTGCGCTTCTTGGCACGCTCTGCGCTGCGCTCCACAAACTCATCGTAGATCTTGTCCTCGACAAAGGTGCGCGAGCCGGCACAGCAGCACTGGCCCATATTGAAGAAGAGACCGAAATGAGCTGTCTCCACGGCATAGTCCAGATCCGAATCGGCTAGAATAATGTTGGGCGACTTGCCGCCCAATTCCAGAGTGACGCGCTTCAGATTCGTATTGCCTGACGCCAGCTGAATCAGCTTGCCCACATCTGTGGAGCCAGTGAAGGCAACCTTGTCGACATCGCTGTGGTTAGCCAGAGCGGCGCCAGCGTCACCAAAGCCAGGCACCACATTGACCACGCCCTCGGGGAAGCCAGCTTCCTTGATCAGCTGCGCAATGTAGAGGGCCGTCAGACTGGTTTGCTCGGCGGGCTTCAGAATAATGGTGTTGCCGGTGGCCAAAGCAGGTCCCAGCTTCCAGGCCATCATCAGAATTGGGAAATTCCATGGTATAATCTGGCCACAAACACCCACGGGCTCGTGGCGTGTATAGGTAAAGAAGTCACCGTCCATGGGAATGGTCTTGCCATGATTCTTGTCCGCCCAGCCGGCAAAGTAACGCAGATTCTTAATAGCCGTGGGCAAATCCACATTGTAGGACATGCTATAGGGCTTGCCATTGTCCAGGGTTTCCAAACTCTAGAACGAAAGAGCATTATGATTAGGATTAGGAGTGCAATTTGATATTTGAATAGCTATCCACCACTTACAGCCAAATAAACTTGATCGCGCTCAATGAGATCAGCCAGGCGATAGAGCAAACGACCACGATCCGAAGCATCCATGCGACGCCAGGGTGAACCCAATCTAAAAATTAAATAAAGTTCAAATGAGCATGAGAAATTATTCTTCATTTTATTTACAAAATTATATTTACTTGAATGCTTGACGCGCTGCTTTAACGGCAATGTCTATATCCTCCTTACCACCGGCTTGGATTTCGGCAATGGTCTGTTCGGTGGTTGGGTTAATAGTGGGAAAGGTCTTGCCCGACTTGCTCTTGTGCCACTCATTGTTGATGAAGAGCTGGAGTGGATGAATTGAAGTAAAGACATAAGAAAATTTTAACGGGTATAATAATCTAACTATCTAAGTAGTTAGCTATGATTATTTACTTTTATTTATTTATTTGCAAAAGTAAGAACAAAATCTATCTACAACATATCTTACTACAACATATAGATTTATTTATTTATATCAATTCCTTTAGCTCTGTTCAGTTAATCATGTTCTAGGTTTTTCAAAAGCTTGTTCGAGTCCGATTTTTATTGAGAATCTACTGAGCTTATCGTCATTTAATCATAAACAAAACTTGTTATAGTGTATCTACTAGGCATTTATTCCATAATAATCTGCTGCCAATTCGTTTACACTTTGGGATTGATATACCCAGCCCATTGTACACACACAATTTGATAAACAATTTGAGTTAAGCTTCGCAATTATTGCCGGAACGAAGCTAATCAATAAGATTAATTTACTGTTCTGGTGTAATCCAGATGTTGTCTAATTAGTTGGCTTCGATTAAAACTATGCTGTTTACACAGCTGGGCAGGCAGAGAGTCATGCTGACTATAAAATATATTTGAATATATAAGTACGTATGTATGTATGTAAATTTATTCAAATGTCTCTCAGGTTTATAATCAATCTCAGCATGACGAGGTAAATTGTGAAATATCGTAAAAAATTTCCGCCAGACTAAAATACTTTAGCAACACGTGTGGGACAGATGACTAGCCGAAGCCCTAGATAAGCAAGTTAGCGGTATACCCGAAAAAACTGGACAATAGCTAAAAATATGAATTTGCTTTCCTGGCATAGAAATAAAGTTTATTTTAAAAGGGTTTAGAGACATATATTGTATATAGACATAAATATATGCGAGAGTAGTCTAAAAACATATATAAAGAAAATTTATAATTTTCAACCTTAAATTTGTTAGATCTTAATAATCTACATATATATTACTTACCTATASCTATTGATATTTAAATAGTAATGTGTTATATTTTATATTTATATTTTTTTATATATGTATGTACTTGTTTTAGTCGTTATGTTCCATATTAATATATTCTGTATATGAATTAATTAAACGATAACATCGATCAAACATTCGATTGGCAGGTAAAATAAATATAAACAGGTATAGTCATATTCACACTTAATCGCAATGAACATACATATTAAAAGACTCTTATCAGTAGCATTTTGTGTTCATATAAAAACATATTGACAGAAGTTTATTAATATACAACAGAGCGACCTATAGAGGTAGTTCGACATTCGAAGGTCACGATCAAACAAAATTTGTTACTGGTATAATAATATATCATATAATTAATAAAACTCAGCTCCTCTTTTTATTAAATAAAAAATACCCACTGCACTGTAGCAGCTTAAAACTCCAAATAAAATTCAACAATGCGCTTAAAGCAGCTGAATTTAAAAGAGAAAAGTCACTGCGCTCTCTCTCTCTATTCTCTCTGACAATGTGAACTGCAAAAAGAGCGGCGGCTGTGATATAACGAGAGCGTCAGCAAGCACCAACAATAACAACAACAGCCGGTAGTAAATAGCGCGATATATTTTTTGTTTGTCTTGCTTTGCCTCTGCCTATTCGCCGGTTTGCATGTGTGCTTCGCGTTTCTTGTCTGGTTATTTTCCTATGCTTAGAAGTCACATACACATGCACACACGCACACTTAAATAAACATATGTCTGAATGTACATAGAAGCAGGCAAATGTTTATCTAATGCGACATATGAACGCCGGTTTTCTGCATGTAAGCCTGGAATTTGCATTAATTATAGAATTCAACTCAATATGTTTAAAGAGTGCGTTTGCTTTTTTTGCCTCTCCCTCTTCGCTCTCACATAGATTTTGTTTGTGTCTGTGGTTGAGTAGCCGCAAATGTGAAAACAAAAGGGCAGCTGCGATTTGTCAAGGTCAAGCAAAACAAACGACGAAAAAACTTGCAATTTTACTTAGCAAATAATCAAGTTTGAAAGCTTACATATGTATGTACATATGTAGAGGATATGTATTCATTTACACTTACACATTATCGTGGTCTTATCAAGGCATAAGGCGTGTTATGTACACAAACAAACATATGTATATAATTTATATATAGACTATACTTACGCCAGTGTAGAGCACATCTGGAGTTGTTTGTGGCTGCGGCATAGCCGAATAGGCAGCAGCAGCAGCCAAATTTTTGCATTCCGCACGCAGCAATCCACTAGTTCTCAAAATACGCAGCATTATGTTTATATTATATTTTTAATTAATTTCAAGTATGAAAAACTAGGCCGTTTAGCACAATTCTAATTGAAATAGCGCGTGCTAGTCGTTTAGCGGGCAGCTAGCAACTGAGAAACTGTTGCTGCGACACTAAAGGCGAAAACTATGGAGACGGCATGCCGCTCATTCACTCACACATATATACGCTGACATACTCGTCAGCTTATCAGACAGCTGCGAGCTAACGCACACTTGTGCGAGCATGAGAGCATTTCAAACAGCTGCTGATCAGCAATCTACTCTTAGTGCTCAGCATTTAAAGAGAATGGAAGCAAATGAAATGAGCAAAAACAACACTCAGTCTAAATAAATTGTTGTGTATGTGTTTGTCAAGTTACATACATATATGCGTTCCATTGAATTGCTTACTCTTTAAGATTGCCAACAACAATAAAGCTTTCAAATAATTTGTCAACTGGGGTAATAAAGCTGTTTGCTATCTGAAAGTACTTGAAGAGTGGAGGGTGCGCTGTCAAAGGCACCGGCAGTGCGAACGAGACAAACGTAGTGACTGTTTCTCTTTAGAGGGGAATGCTAAATAGAGCCCTTCACAGACTGAGTATGGGGGAATGCAAGAGCTAAGCAATGCTCAAAATAAATGGAAGAGAATAAATAACATTGAATATGGACTTTTTGCAAGTTATTGAATGCAAATTGTTTGTAATTTATTTATTAATTTTGTGAGTTATTATATTATGTCATTATGATGGGAATGACTGAAGGATTAGTTGTGTGAAATTTATTTATTAATGCAATTAGGAATCCAAAGAAACTTTAATAATTTTCGTACTATTTTTGTATGTTTATAAGCTACGCTGTGCCAAATATAATCGCCTGGATTACAACAAATGTTGAGTGTTTGTCACCCATACCTAGCGTCGCTCAAATTCCAATCAGAAAAGCTAATCTCCTGGCAAAATGAGTGAAKGAATGAAAGTTTTCGTGTGGGTATGTTTTTTATGCGTAGGACCCTGTCCACTTATCGATAGCCGCCTGTAGCTGCCAGGGTCAATTACCATAATCAAATGGCCTTCATAAATGTTAATGGCAATTGTTGTGCGTCGGTTCGCATTTGTGTTATTGCCATTGCCATCGCCATTGCTTTTGCTGTTGCCGGCTGCTCTTAACAGTCGGATGAAATATTTAATTTATCCCATACAAACAATTTGACAATAAAGCACGAAACGCATATGAATTGCTCTCCCAAATGCAGGATGTCAACACAGATATTGAGGCCGTGGCGCGTGTTATAAATGTGAAATTAAATTTAAAATAAATTGCTGGAAATTAAGTTAATTGAATTTAATTATATCTTGCGAAAGTCGGAAATTCAATTCGTTTCAGCAACAATGTGGCATTCGTTAGCACAGGTGGAACTTTATCGACAGCTTAAAAGAGACATACATACATATATATGTATTTATGAAAAACATGTACAAAGGCTTTCAAAAGATAAAAACTTTTCAAAATAATTTGTATTCGTGGGGACTTTGTAAAAGTTTAGCTTTATAGCATGGAAACATGCGAAGGATCGAAAGACTAAATAAGATAGTATATTTATATATATGATTATATGTAGGGTATTTAAGAAGAGGATATTGTAAGTCAACAAAGGCAGGAAGGAAAGGAAAGGAAATTAGGAACCATTAAAGAATGCGAATTTCTATAATATTATATATAAATGTACAAATATAAATATAGAACATATCCTTTTTTTTATAAAACCAATGCACAACTTTAATATTTACTTAGCATGGAAGCATTAACGCCAAATCATCGGCTTAAGGGCCAAAAGCAAACCCAAGCAAAGGGTTAATGTGTGCGCATTGCACGATGCTATGCATTATATATAAATGTGGCGAAAATAAAAGTAAAGAGTGAGCATCTATGATGGCCAAAAGAGGAAATAAAAAAAAAAGGTCAGCACAAATGCCAAAATGTATGCAAATGGCTTATAGCTGGCTTTACTTACACTTAGCCTTGTCTTCGTCCCGCTTCCGCGCTCCACCCCAAGTGAATTTTTTATCACTCACTTTTTGGTAGTAAGATTCCGACCGAAGCGAATTGTGTTACGTATAATTTTTTGTGGCTTGATTTAATGGCCAATGCGAAAGGGTCAAGACTACACACAAACACATATATAAATGCTGGGAGAGAAAGAGTGAGAGAGAGAGAGAGTGAGAGAGAGGTAGATAGAGTTATGGCAATGGTAATTTGTAAAGTTATATTGGGTCAGCGGGGCGTATGCGTAGTGCAGTTAATTTGCATGCAAATCCAGTTGAATTTATTGGCTCACTTTGCTTCTTTATTGCAGATATGAAACCTACAAGGCGACGCTCAAGAAAATACCTGCAACGCGCCTCTCACGCCTGACCGAAGCCCTGGCTAATTATGATCCGGTGCTCAATGAATATTTCTTCGATCGTCATCCGGGCGTCTTTACGCAAATACTCAATTATTACAGGTGAGTTAAACGGCTTTAATTGGCTTAACGTAATAGTGTGCCATGAATTATGGCATATTTTTCAATTTTAAGCAATCTTTCAGCTTTAACTATATATAAATATTTTCTAATATATTATATATATTTTTCGAGTAGCATTGAATCAGTTCAAACAGATTTAAGATCTTATTTGTTTAATTTATTACGCGCATTGAGCTTACACAATTTGTTCTAGGCGCCAGCCTACGACTTTGCTTTCCTTGCTGTACACTACTTCATACTTATCAATATACTTAGTCAATCCAGACAAATTTGCAGAGCTGTCGACGCATGAGCATCTGTCCTAATCGAACAAAGTCTCTCTTACACTCGAGTGCCCTGCTAGCAAATGTGCGTGTATAGAATAAAGAGAGAGCGGAATGCATCTCTTTACAGACAAGCTATTGGATCCTCTTTAATTACACGCAGAGCACGCTAGAAGATCCATAGATAAAATGACATACATATATTTGTATTATTTGTATTATTTTATACAATTATTAAATCGTTTATTTTATTAATTTTATTAAATAATTCATTTTATTAATTAAATTAGATTGTTTATATTTGGCCTTATATTTATTATTTAACACAAAATAGATACATTCAATTT